TGATATTATCTTTCAATCCATATTAAAATTAATTGATAAATACTTTGTCATTTTAATCTATATCACAAGCAAGATATTAGAATTTAGCAACATATATAGTAATTGAATGTGATCTTTATTGTAAAGATATAAATTTGATTTTTGCTATCTTTTCTCAATTACTTTCTCCAAATGTAGCCATAAGCACTTCTACGAATGAATTCAAATCATAGAATAGTCATGAATTATTTTCCATCAAAGGTACAAACCAAGAAAGAATACTTTTAGATAGAAGTATGCCCACAAATCTAATAAGGTATTGGAAATAATACATCTTTAGATAGAACTTCACTTCTTGTAGAAACCTTTGAAATTTTGATCTTATTCCATCAAACTTCTCCATCATACTTATTCTTATCTCTTTTATACTTATAGTAGCAAGGCTTCTAAGATTTAGTTATAAATTTAATCTATTTATTTCTCTTAATTACACAACTTGCTATAGACTTTATACTTCATTGTTGATTTCTTCAATGGCCATAAGAATAGTACCTCCATGATTCACATTGAAAATATATAATATTTCCACCTTAAGAGTATTATTAAGGTCATACAAATTTGCAATAGTTACAAATCTATTCTCACTTTTGTTGAGAGTAGCATCCATAATATTTTCTTTTATAGATAAGTCAAACCAATCCATAAGTCAAATTAAAAAAGAATAATCTGTAATTCTAATATAAAATAAAAATTTCTACAAAGAGAGATAATCCTTTCTTTTTTAAAAAAAAAATCAATGTTAAAAAACTAAGTCTTAGATTAAAGGTGGATAATTTTCAACCTTCAAAATACAATAATAAAAATAACTGTCCTTCTAGAAGACAAAACAAAAACATTAAGTTATGACTTTTGTCAAACTATTAAAGATGTGAATTTTAGAGAATAAAAAGATCAATATACTCTTGTGACACTTGAAAAGACTAAAAAATCACTCAAAGATAATATAATATTAAACAAAAATGACTATTTCCAAAGATGAAAAGATTAAAAAGTCTTGAAAGAAGACTAAGGAAAAAAAAGGTGTTGACAAGAGTGAAGAAAGCTTTATTCTTACTTCCATATATATTATTTATATAAGAGTTATATGGTGATGTTCTATAGGACCTCCAGCATGTATCCAACTAGTGAGACATATATCTAACTTACAAGTTAAGTCTTTTATTTGTATGCCATCTAATAAGCTTATATTATAAGCGACTAATACATTGTTGTAGTACATGTCATAATGTTTGGAACTGCATCGAGCATTTGGTTGTGGAAGGTGAAGTTGTATTTTACAAGTATCTAAAAACTTAATAAGTTTCGCCCTTATAAGAAGAATGCAAGTTGAATTTTAATTCAAAAGTGCTTAAATCTAATACAAAGTGCTGAAAAACACTCTTCTTAGTAATTTCAACTATACATAAACTCCAATTACCTTGTTACTTTCATACTTAGGCAATTTTGATTTTTCTTTGTAAGTCCTAATCCTAATTAGCAAGCTTTAGTAAGCTGTAGCTCCTAATCTAATCAACAACTTAAAGCAAAATTTTGCATACAAATACCACTACAAGTCTTCTATGTGTTCAAAAAGAATTCACTTCAATTCAACTTGCAGATCGTGAGAAAACATCCAAAAACCACATTGACGTTACTTAGTTGCCAACTTAAAAGTTCATGCAAATGTTCCAGCAATGATTTTTGCTTCTCCAACTACTAACTTCAATCAAAATTGATATATAGCTTGATTTTCAAGTCTTTTAATATTATGCCAAATTTCACTTTAATTTGACTTGTAGATCTTCAGATATCATAGAAACTTTATCCAACTCCAAACTCCCAACTTTTGATATCTTCTTGTATTAAAATCCAATTATCTCTCAACAATACCATTAGATTATTATAAAATTTTATATATACTTAGTACACTTAATTAACCAAGCATTGTCAAATTTTAAATTATAGATGTAATACTAATTATACAAACTAGTTGAGAGTGCTAGCCTTAATTGTATTGCATAAATTCTAAGTCATTAATACAAATCTTGATTTTGAACAATTATTGCTAGGTCAAATTAAACCCTATAAAAACAAGCCTTATGTATTTAAAATAAGCTCTAAGCTAGCTCCACAATCTTAATTGCCGATCTTCAAATGCCTCCCTATTTTACCCTAAGTCGTCATTTAAGTAGTTAAAGATTTGATTTTGATCCTATCTCACAAATAGTCGACCTTTAAGTATTAATCTAATCTATTATTAGGATTTTTTTAGCCCAAATCTACCCTCAACTTAATCCTAGTATCAATCATCCTAATTATTTATTTCTTTTAACTTATTTTTACCAATTTATGATCTTTTTAAGGTAATAAAAGAGTCTCTATAACCTACAAGGTAAAATTACTAACCAACTTCAAACCTACTAACTATTAAGACAAGAAAATAAACTGAGAGGCTTTTATAAAAACCATGTTTAAATATCTTAAATTATTATTGAATCAAGATAATTAGATATTAATTAGAAATTAATTTTTGATTATATTTTTATTATATAGTCGTATTACAACATGACAACATGCAATACATGGCTAACTTGTTGCTTAAGTTTCTAATGTATCAATCAACTACAAATACATCTAAAGTCAATTCCATATCTATGAATCTTCTAAGAAGCTTTGCCACAAGATAATATCAAATTTATTTATAATTACCTTCAATCTAATATTGCTTATCTAGGTAAATATATATGTCCATGAAAACCATCTAATTCAAGTAGTATTGGCCCAAGTTTCTTGCTTACATTTAGATGAAGGAGCCTACAAGTGCCTCGCCTTGGCTTTGGTAGGTTTATTGACTTATGATGGACTCCTCTATGGAACACAATACTAAGATGTTTCGCAAGATTTTAGGTCTAACAATTCTAATCTCACAATAAGACATAGAGTTTAAGGCTCTTGTGAGCACTTCTATTAAAGACCTAGGAATAATTGGCCTTCTCAATGATAAAATAATCTTAAGCTTTGATGTAATGATACAAGTTATAAGCAGTTGCTATGTTGTCTCTTTTGTGAATGTGTACAAATTTATTATAGACCTTGCATCTTAGGATGAAGTTATTCTCAACGATGCTAAAGAACTTGAGCCCAATTATTTGTTGCAACATGTTGGCCTCATCTTCATTATAACATATGGTCATATTGAAGACATATTTGTATAACATATCATAGTCAACAATCTACATATAAAGCCACATTTGCTACCACATGTATTTATTACATGACCTTGTTTTGATTTTTGTAGTTAACTTCATTTACAAGGCTCATAGATATAGCTTTTCATTGCAATTTCATTATTTTGGAATGCACATTGATTAAATTGCTAATGAATATAAAGCTCTTTTTTACACCTACCACAATGAATTTGTTATGTAAGCAAGTATCAATGCTTACGATGAGAAGACATTATTTGCCAATGCTTGGATCTTACTTAGTGCATATTTTTTAAACGTAGTCAAGTTTTGTGGTAGCATTGCAAATCTCTTCGTTAGAATATATATTAAAGAATCTAACTTCTTTATCTTGAGGTTGGCAAAAGATAATTATTGTAAGAATCTATCAAACTTTGGACTTGAAGGCAAATTGCAAGCAAAGTAGTACATCCAAATCAAGGCACTTCTTGATTCTGAATAATCCTTTAGAATGATTTACATTACCTTAAATAAACTTGGTCAATATTGCTTATTTATTGGCATTGAATCTTGCTTGTATTTTCTTATTACTTAAATTTATTTTCTTGAGAGTTCTAAATTAAACTATTTTAAATAATTTAATCAAGTTCCTATTTTAATTAAGTTTATATATAATATTTTTACATTTAAAGTTTTATTGCTCATAATCTTTAATTTGATTACTTAATATGGACTAAAAATATAAAATGTAAATTTTAAATATAATAACCACCTATTTTTATATGAATATATTTTTATATCTTAAATAAGCATTATTATAAATTTAGTGGTGTAGTAATACATAGTTTAGCCTTAATATTCATATAAATAAAGCATTTTTTGCAATTTTAAGTTAATACTTTCAACTCACGCTTTTTCAAGGAATTTTTTTTTGTGAATGCATAGAAAAAACGTAATAAATACACTAGCCACACACACAATAGCAAAAGTATATGCATACATATACTTTTGCATCTAACCTAAGTATTCCAAAAAGTCCTAATAAGACTGCAATGCTTGTGTGGGAGGTCGAGAGGCCCCACCGTCTCGGTTGACGAAGCATGTTGTCAAAAAATTGACGAAGGACATGGATGAAGTTATGGATGATGTCATTAAACAATGACGAAGCACGCAGACGAAATGACAGATCACGTCGTCAAAAAACTGACGAAGCACGCAGACGAAATGACAGATCACGTCGTCAAAAAACTGACGAAGCATGCGAACAAAATGACAGATCATGTCCTCGAAAAAACAACAAAGTAAACGGACGAAGTGACGAATCACGTCATCAAAAAATTGACGGAGCACGCAGACGAAATGATGGATCACATTGTGGAAAAAGCTAACGGATCACACAGACAAAATGACGGATCGCATCGTTGAGGAGCGTGCGGACAAAGTGACGGATCACATCGTAAGAAACCCACGAAGAACACGGACGAAGTGAAGGATCACGTCGTAAAAGCACTGACGGAGCACACGGACGAAGTCGCGGGCCAGGTCGACGAATCGAGAGAGTGTGTCGACGAACAAAGGGAGAACGACGAAGGCCGCGGGTGTAAAACAGGATGGGCAGGCAAAGGCAGCGAGTGGGGTCCAGTGCTGCTAGCTGCTGCAGGTGGGAAGCAGACATTGGAGGTGGATTCTGTGGACCTTGTAGCGCGGCTTTGCAGCATCCCCCCCCCTCCCCGAGTTCTCTTAATCGCAGCCAATGTTACTGTGCGATGCGCGCGATGGTAACCTTGCGATGGATGGCGAGAGTCCTTTTTATCAACATCGGCACGCACTCGTGCTTCGCAAGGATGCCGCCTCTTGTGGGTGCCAGATTCCTGCCCATACAAACTACTCTCTGGTGGGTCTGTGAGTTCGCGACGCTGCGGGTCTATCCAGTTGGTATGCGCTGGTGGTGACGAGGGCGGGCAGGGGGGTAAAATCCCTTCAGTGCACGAGGGCTTGCCTGATTTGGAGGGCTGGCATTTGTTGGCAGCGCCTGTCCGTTTGTCGTGATTTGCTGCAGCGCTTGGATATCAGTCTGGAGACTCCACTTTAAGTGTTTAGCTTGTTCGTGGGAGAGTTATGAGTTGGTGGTGTCGAAAGCAGCTGCGAGCTTCTCCTTGCATGGAGCTGGCGAGATTTTGTCCTCAGAAGTTCAGAGAGAGTTGTAAGTGTGGGAGGAGGAGTACCGCACCGGGTTTCAGAGCCATTGTCGAAGGTGTGTCTAGTATCGGCAGCTTGTGAGGCACTCATGATTGTCTAATTGGGAGGTTCTGATACTGCTTGTGTTCGTAATCACGATCTCTGGCATGTAGTTGACGTTCGCGGAGGGCGAAGAGTAGTCTGGGCTTGGGACTTGAATCACGGCGGGTCTTCACCCTTACTTAATTTTCCCCGCATTGTGGTGCATCTGGTTGAAGGACATCAGAGGCCCCGCTCACCTGAAACTTGCTTGCTCCGTAAGTTGTATACTTAGCCTTCTTTTGCTGCTACATGCGGGGATTTGTGTGCGTACGTTTCTGTGAAGGTGGATGGAATCTTGAAGCGTAGGACTCTTTTTCTTGGGGTAAGGCTAATGCTAAGGATGATGTAGCTGTAGCGAGCGGTGAGCTAGTCCCGACCGCATGATGGGCTAGTGATTGTCACAATCTGGATGCCCTCTGCATGACATGGGGCCTCATGGTACCGAAATAGGTTTTCCATCGAAGTCTCCGCAAGGCAAGAAAGTAAAGAAACGAAACCACCACTTTAGTTTGAAAGAGAGTACAAAGCTTCATTCTGTACCGCTCGAGAAGCATCCTAAGGCCGAGGTTGACAACCAGGAGGCGAGGAAGGCGGCTGCCTGGGCTGTGTTTCAACATCATGGTGGAGGAGGGATTAACCAGTGCCCCGCACATGGGAGTGCTGTTCGAAGGCCCTCGCGATTCAAGATTGAGGCACAGATGAAGAACGAACTTGCACATCGGTCAGTGGCGCAGTCTGTGGCTGCGAACTGGGATGCTGGAAGCACTCTTTTCGATTCATTCGAGCTTGACTCCCTGCTGAGGACGCTGGACCAGGCTGCGAATCCAGCAGGGTTGTCGCAGCAGCGCCGTGCAGATGACGGTCCAAACGAATCTGGTGCTCTGGTAGTTTATTCGCAGAAGTCTTGGCTATCACATCCGCAGCTCCAGCCTCATCGCCAAGAGATCGTACATGCGCAACGAAGCTTGCCCAGTGTGAGAGACGTTGACGCTGTCGGTCGCCTGGATACTGTGGACGAAAAGCGTCCTCTGAAACCGTCGAAATCATTGTTGCCGGGACCAAACGTGGTGAGCTACAAACTTCCCGGTAGCGCCAAACCTGATAATTCGCGAAAGAGTGGCCATGGTCATGATCATACAGAGGATGATCCATTCGCCTCATTCGTTCACACGCCTAGTCCATTCAATGCGAGGCAAAGTGCTCGTCGATCCTTTGACAGCTCGGGTCAGGTCAAACCTGCGAAAAGAGACCCTCATGATCATCATCGCAGCAAATGGAAAAATCTTTTGCACACTCTGCACCTCGACGGAGCGAACAATCTGTTTAATAGATTTCAAGGATTCCACGCCCAAGTTGCACCACACGATTCGCACAAGAAGCTGGATCAAAAAGCTGGTAAAAGCCGTGCGAAGCCCGATCACAACGACGTCAGTCATGGCCACAAGCACAACGACCACGACCACAGCCATAAGCTTTTCGGTAAAGAACAGGACGATCACCGCTTCCCTGCCAAGCATCTGCTAGTCTCGAAGGATGTCCATCCCACTGCTCCATCGGGTCACGAAGAGCATCGCCGCAGCACTGATCACTCTCATTTCTGGAAATTCGGACTCAAATCGGTTCTTTCAAAACCATTCAGTCGTCAAGCTAGCATGTCGAGTGAGCACGAGGAGACTGCCACGGAGGAAGCGCGCAAGAGCGACGTGGATCGGACACTGAAGTACAAGCACCATCAACACAATCATCAGGATGGACACGAGCATGGCCACCGCCGACACGGAAAGGGTAAGAATCACAGCGGCGAGCTGTCTGGGGCATTGCCTGAGCCTGCAACACGGCATCGCCACCACCACCATGTTCTCCCCGAGGACGAAGACTACGAACTAACGCTTCCAGCTATAACTAGGCGAGCTTCTAGGTCATCCTTCGATGAGCAAGGTCGTAGATTTTCCATGGAAGATGGCGGTTTGAAAGCTCCTCGCAACTCTCTGGACCCATCCAACACTTACGAAGAGCAGCGGAGTCGAACCCAACTGACACCTTGGGAAGCAGAGTCGGGCTTGAGGAGAGGCTCATATGTACAGTGACACACCTCTAGAAAGAGCTTTCTATATATTATTTACATAAGCGGGCCGCAATGTCTTCGGACCGAGCGCAGAAAATGTATGATACGGGAATTGACTTGCAATTTTAGAGAAAATTGATTGTTTGTTCTGAAACTACTCCGAGGCGGTTTCTCGATGTGCACACAAAGTGATAGTGGTCCATTGCATGCCCAGAGGATTGTCAGAGGAAAGTATGTAACATACCCAACCTACCATTTTCCTGGAGGTCGCAAAAATCAGCACGAGGCCTTGACTGAGGTGTCTGTCTCTGTTCAAAGCTCTTTTTTGCTTGACGACTTTTGTCCTTTAGAATGAAGACTTCCTTCTGAAAAATGAGGTTGGCAGGTGGCTTGGCGTACCCACCAGGTGAAGAATCTAACTGGCTTATGAATTACTCATGTCTCTAATAATTGAGAGACTTCTGTAGACGAATGTACAGTCCGATGTGTGTGTAATTGAGTTGGTTGTATAGTATTTCTACAAAAAGATGTGCCTTCTTTGAGGCTGTTACTAAAGTATCTAAGGTTCTTTTGAACATATTCAACAGAATAGTAAACATTGTGTTGAATTTCAGAAGACTTGTGTCCAGGACTTTTAGAGATTGTATCTTTCAAGTGGGAATTTAATTATCTTTGGTTGGAAGCATGGAGAGGTCAACATATAGTTTGGTAAACTTGTAGTCTTCCTACAGCAAAGCCTACATTAACTCATTGCAGAAACAAAAAAATGATTGTAGTAGCTTAACTTTAATTTTATTAAACTAGTGAAGAGTTTCTTAACCTAAGACACCCCGCGTGGAGATAGTTCCCAGTTCCCGTGATGCGAACGCGGCGCCGTCGTCACGACTACATCTGCCTTTCTCGTCGACGAATAGCGTCCGTCGTCTCCCCGAACGATTGCGCCACCTCCGTTGACGAAAACTCTCCATCTTTCCTACACCCACTTCTTTACCGTCTCGCTCCTCCCTCACCGTCCGATCCATCACCAATAACGATCTCCCTTTTTGGGCGGTCACTATCTTTTACATTCGCCAGTCGGCGCGTGGAACTGGCTGCTGCTCTCACACTGCACTGCACTGACATCATCGCCCTGTAATCTCACCTCCCCCCTTGTTTGTTGCAATTTTGGATCCCACTCGCTTGTTTCATTGCAGCTTTGGTTCAATACTCATTTCTCCCCTTCTCGTCTTCCTTCCTGTTTTTTTTCCCTTTGTAGTATTCATTCCGCAACTGGCTGTGCTCTGGGTCTGTGTTCCTTTCCTTTTGTTTTCGACTTCTCTAGTTGGATTCGTTGTTACTTTATTGAATTTGTGTCTAGAGTCTGTCGTTGCGCGAATTTGTGCGCGAGTTGGAACGTTTTTTTTTTTTTTTTTTTTTTTTTTTTGTGTTGCTGTTGTGAAGAAGGTGGAGGTGTAGGAATGATTTGGAGTGGGTTGTGAGAGGCGAGGGGAATTAGTGAGAAAAGGGGGGATCGAGGGTTGCTGTGTGTGGTCGGCAGTCATGGCAGCGCGGCCTCAGAATGTGGGTATTTTGGCTATGGACGTGTACTTCCCCGCGAGTTATGTGAGCCAGGTATGCAATCGAGCGCTGGATTGTCGTAGTTGGTGTTGTTGGGATTGGACGCGTGGTCGTTTGTGTTTTGTTTTGATGTAAGTGAAGAGGTTTACTTGAGGCTGGGGTTTTGGGCTGTCTTCCTTTTGAATATTTATATCTTTTGTATTTGTGCTCAAGCGGTCCAGATCCCCTGTCCCCTTGAGGTATGTTGTTAACGATAATCCTTATTCAAGTGGAATCTCATCGGTACGCAGCCAGTTTTTATTCGTTTTTGGGGGCCTTGGTCGGGTAGTTGTCGATCAACCTGTTGTAGTTGAAAATCCGCTTTGATATTAAAATTCCTTTGTGGCCTTGTATGATTAAGAGCTCGAATGAAAGTCGTTATTTTTTCAAGACTTTTATTGTCATTTGCTATAGATCACGAAGTGTAGTCACGGGTATCTGTCCTTGTAAGGCCGATCGTGTACACGTTGTTTAGATAGACAGTGGTAACTGTTTTCAGATGAGTCGGTATTTCAATCGGAATAGTTACAGTGCATCCTCCGGGTTCGTAGGAGGAGTTGGAGGAGCACGACGGTGTAAGCAAGGGAAAGTACACTATTGGTCTTGGCCAAGACCGGCTCGCTTTCTGCACCGATCTTGAGGATGTTATTTCCATGAGGTACCTTCCCACTGCAATCCGCTGCTTGGGGTTGGGGGTTTCTGTTGTTCCCGTGTGTGTGTTTGGATTTCAGATCATCGGACGGAGCAAACTGACGAGCACTCTTGTCTTTTGGAATTGGTGCCAGTCTTGTTAACCTTGGTATTTTCGGCTTGTTTCGGTGGGCTTCAGCTTGACAGTGGTGAAGTCTTTGCTGGAGAAATATGAGATTCCAGCTGACCGCATCGGTCGCCTAGAGGTGGGCAGCGAGACGGTGATCGACAAAAGCAAGGCTATCAAGACCTCCCTGATGCAGCTTTTTGAGGTGCGTTTCTTGATGACTTTCTCTACAGTGAATCAATTTTAAAGCCTTCAAGGAGTCTCTATCATACTTTGATCCAATGCATAAACAGTGACTCAAGTCTTTGGTAACAGTCCAAATCTCGTAGAATGCCAATATTTTACATTTTTATTGACTTACTCTATTATTGTCCAAATGGGTTGTAGAAAACGCGTAACTTCCAATTTTTTTTAATATATATAATGGGTTTATTGACAAACAGGACTCGGGTAACGGAGATATCGAGGGAGTAGATTCCACCAATGCCTGCTACGGAGGAACAGCAGCTCTGCAGAATTGTCTGAACTGGGTGGAGAGTAGTGCCTGGGATGGACGTTATGCCATTGTCGTTGCTGCAGACAGCGCTGTATGTTATTTGAGCGTTGCTTTTATTGTCGTGCTGATTTTTCTGCCTTGTACTGAAGAAACCTACTTTTTCACGGTACTTTGTTCCTCTTAATTGCATAGGTCATGCAGATGCTGCTGCTTCTAGTCGGTAAGGTGCATACTCATTTTCGTGGGTTAGCTTTGCTTGGATAAAGTAATAAAAACAGGAGGGAGTTGACTAAGTCGTGGAAGTATTGTGGCAGGTATATGCTGAAGGGCCTGCACGTCCAACGGGTGGTGCTGGAGCTGTTGCCATGCTGATCGGACCTGATGCGCCCATAGTCTTCGAGCGTAGGCTTAGTGGAACTCATATGGCAAATGCGTACGATTTCTACAAGCCTAATCTGGCTAGTGAATATCCGGTAGGTCCTTCATTTCACATCCTTTTGTTCTTCGGCTCCAACTTGTCAAACGGGTGTGAAAAGTTTATTTATGTTTATATTTTAGTTATTTATATTCTTGATTTTTGGTGAACTTCCAACAAGAACGCTTGTGTATAAGTTCATCTTGTTTCGTTTAATCTGTTATCATTGATGTTTGATCATGTGATGTTGCTACTTAATGATGTGAATTTGCGTCGAAGTCCACCTTTGTGACGTTTGCAGTGCTCAATAACAGGTCGTTGATGGAAAATTATCGCAAACTTGCTATCTGCAAGCCGTAGACTCGTGTTATCGGCGCTTCTGCCTGAAGTACGTTTCCTCACTCTTCACTCCTCCGCTGTCCATGTGTTGTTAACAATTCTATGAAACGTTCCGCACCCGCCATGTGTCACTTTCGAAGTCGGCAACTAATGGTGTCATGCGTTTTGACAGGTATGAGAAGTTTGCAGGCAAACCTTTCACCCTTTCAGATGCTTCATATGTTATATGCCATGCACCTTACAACAAGGTACTTTGTCTTCCTCAACTGATTTTTTACACAGTATTAGTTCATTGCACGTCTGGTTTTGCAATCCTTACGAGCGGCATTTGAGATAACTAAATACTCACGAGTTACTATGTTAGTATTGTGCAGCTTGTGCAAAAAAGTTTTGCCCGTCTTGTTTACAATGATTACTTGAGAAATGCCAGGTAATTGTTACGGCTTCCTTTATGTGTCTTTCTAATATCCCAATACAACATTTGATGCTTTAACGGTGACTTTTTATCTGATTAATTGTTCAGAAAATGCTTAATACAAAACTTTAACTTACGTTTGTTACGACTCCCTCCAGCTTTGTTGATGAAGAAGCGGGTGCTAGGTTCCAACCATTTGCAATATTGTCACCAACGGATAGTCTTTTGAACCGCGACCTTGAAAAGGTGCGTTCTTACTCTTACTTTCTAGCTATGGTTTCCTTTTTGCATGGCTATCTTAAATCTACTCAGTGCTGATGGCAATTTGCTGGGTGTCTGGGAATGTAGGTCTCACAAGAAGTTGCGAAGAAACAGTACAATGAAAAGGTTGGACCCACGACAATGTTGCCCAAGGAGCTTGGAAACATGTATTGTGCGTCTTTGTATGCTGGTCTTGCAACTCTCGTGCATAACAAGTCATCTTCTTTGGTAATTAACTTTCCTCTTATAACTCGATTCTTGGGTGGATTGATACCAGCGTGCCACTTCAGTTGATGCATCTATCATCCGCACATTATGTGTTTGATAGGGTTTTAAAATTCTGATGTACAGGTGGTGATCAGCTTTCCTAGGTACAAGGTGAACCGTGATTAACTATGTGAAATTGATTCTTGCATTGGTAGGATGGAGAAAGAATACTCATGTTTTCCTACGGAAGTGGCTTAGCAGCAAGCCTATTCTCCTGTAAATTTACCGGCGGCCAAAAGTTGTCAGAAATAGCAGAGAAAATGGACATCGTCGCCAAACTGGATTCTCGCATAGCAGTAAGTCTACACACTGCTGTTCTTGCTTGCAGAAGTAGCCCATCTCCTAGAAATTCTACGTGTTTCTGTTCTCCCCAGGTTGCATTGTTGCAGTCAACAATATCTATAGAAATGTAGTGCTGTTGCTGGCAAGGCAGCTGTAAGTTCCCATTGACGTAATGATAATGTTGTGGTGAATAATTTAGGTCACACCCAAGGAGTTTGTGGAAACCATGCACCTCATGGAGACTCGCTATGGTGCGAAAGATTACACGCCAATCAGCTCCAAGTCTACTCTACGCCCCTCAACCTTTTACATCACTCAAGTTGATGCCCTCTATCGCCGCACTTACGAAAGATACCAAGCGAAGCTTGAGAAGGTGGAAGCCAATGGTGTATAGCAGCTTCAGAACTTGAATGTTTCTCATCTGCTTTACTAACTTCATCTCCACATTGAAATTCCCGAGGTTTTGATGCCGCTGCTATGTGTAGGGGCAACTGAGTCTGAAAGGGAATGAGCCAGGACCAACAACTGCAGATCATATGAACCATCCTTGCTCGCTGGTTTGGGAATAAATGTAGTGTACATGTTGGAGGTTTTCCCATTTTTTCTCAGTTCGCTACAATTATTTGAAGTTGAATTTAACAATGATTCGGACCTTGAGATGATTGCTCAAAGAAAACCTAGAGTTTTCCACCAATTGTTCTACTTGTCTGAAATGTACTCTACTGCTCCACGTAAGATAGTTTGTTTTTGTGAGATTATTATCATAAATCGTGTTTTACAACCTTAAGTAAAACCATATAAAAACTTCATGGAACTGGTTGAGGTTCATGTTTCTGGGTCAAAAGCTTTCTGTATAATTTGTTGTGAAGTCTGAAACTCTCTAGAGATGATTTTGAAATGGTTGAAAACATTTTCATTCTTGATTTCTTTTCACTTTGAAGCAGTTCAGAGGTTTCATCACTGAAGTTGTAATAGAAATTGTTGATGGACATCAATTAATGTAGTCACTTCAATATATGTACTCCGGACTAAGATGCTACTGACTTACGAAGTTAATTTCAAATCTGAATTCGTAGTTTTGTAGTGAAATGCTTATCTAATTCATAACATGTATTTTGCATGTTTATTTTTTTTGGTGTTGCTGCGAAATTGGTGCTAAAGAGTGCTTATGTAAGTACAAAAATAGCTTGGAAGACAGCCGAAACTTGATATTAAGACACAAGCGGATATAATCACATATCAAATGGAGGATTGGCAAAACATTATTTTATTCCAAGAAATCTTTTTACTGCTCTTTAGATGGTGATTTGGATATTTATTGTTTAAAAAACATTTACAGTGTACCAATTAAAATCTATTGTAAATACTGATGCCTGAAATACTTGTAGATTTTTAGTTTTTTTTTAATTTACTATTATTTTTGAGTTTGACAATTTAGTATCAAAATAGTATTCATGTTCATGGCTCATATATTGTGTTATTATTTTTAAATAACTCATTATATTAAGAGTTTATATATATATATATATATATATATATATAAAAGAATATCAAATTGATCCACCTAAATCTCAAATTGACCAAGCACAATGGCACCACAAACACTTGAAGGCTCAACCAATCAAAGCTCCTCTTGGCTACCTTGAACAATTCATACCAAGTCCAAGTGCCTCACATGTAGTAGGATGTGTAATTATTATTACACTTGGACTTTGTATTAATTGTTATTATTAATTATTATTATTATTAAAAATTTTAATTTCTATCTAAATACTCATGCAGGTAAATATAATTAAATCAAATAAAAATCTTTAATCATATGCATCAATATTGGAGTATTAATAGTGTCCAAGATTTTGGTGAACATAATTTATAGGTTTTGTGTGGAAGTTTGAAAGATTTGTAACAGTTAAAAGCTACAGTTTGATTTACAGATTTGGCAAGATTGTATGTAATTTAATTTAAAATCTAGAATTTGACAAGCCATAGTAGAAATTAGAAGAATATAAATATGAACAATCAGAATATCAATTATTTTTATGGTTAGATAGTTTTCTCATAAAATTTAATATATATTAAACAATCAGAGTTACAAGGATAATTGTAGCCAGAGTTTTATCTTAGTTTGATTTTGAAGCAATATATATTCTATTTAATACACCAACCAATTCTTTATTAATTCCTCTAAGGTGGTAGTTGGCTAAAAACTGACGTAGATAGTCTTTGTTCTGATTAAATACACAACAACATTGCTTAAGAAATTTTTGAGTATAGATCTTTAGACAAACTTATAATTAAAAGCATAAATATAAACTTGAACATTCATTTTAAATCATTTTATTTGATATATATTTGAAAATATTAGTATTTAAAAGAATAATTTTATTTATGTTTAGAAAATATATGACTTTGTGTTATGTAAATATATATATATCAAAATACTTCTTTATCAATAGCATTTAAGTGCCTTCTATATTAAGCATTGAACCTTTTTTTAATATTCATAAAATTTTTCAAAACACTGATTGCAATAAAGTGAGACTTTTTCATTTTATCAGTTTTGTTCCAATGTAGGTATTTTTATTCTCTGCATAATATGTTACTTTTTTTCATTATTTTTATTATTATTTTATAGAATTATTAATTTAATATTATTTGTGATTCATATCTCATACATTCGTTTATGTAAGTCTTTATGGATTAAATATGATAACATGAGTGTGGACAAATAAAGAATCAGGTAAATTTTCATAACACAAGTTTATTAAATTTATGCTGTATAAATTATCCGGTAAATATAGAATTACTTTCAATAATAATAAACAATAATATGTTTGTAAAGAATATTTCTATATATAGAGAGTTGTTTTAGTCACATTCCAATTTTGTTAAAGCCACACCCTACTTCCTACCTTATGATCTATTTTGTACATGTCCTTTGTTCCCAACCCTCCTCCCTCATTCCCCTTTCGTGTCTACCCCAGTTTCAACCCTAATCCCACCGCACCCCCATCCTAAGAGTTTATTTTTTGTTTTATGAATTAATCATACATGTTTTCATGAAAGATTTTATGGGTATATATATATATATATATATATGTGTGTGTGTGTGTGTGTATTTTATTTTCTTTTAAGTTTTAAAAATAATTCCTTACAAAAAGAAATTCACTTGAGAATGTTTTGATTTCTAAGCCATCTATTTAAGTTTGTTAATCGTACTAAACTTATTAATTTTGGTAAAAATATTATTAATAATATCAAATTAAAAATATTTAATGTTTTTGTGAATATTTTCAATAATCATAAAAATAATAATATGATTTGAATTTTGGAAATAATAAAATATTAAGAAATATTTCAATATATATCTTAAATTTTAAGATATAATATAAGAAGTTTGAAATTTGGCATTTCATAATAGATATGGTTATTCCAAATCAACATCAAATTAAGCTATATTTATTTTATTTTCAGCTAAAATTTTTAAGTATCCATTAAGAAAAATCTATAACAATCCTTTAATTTTATATGGATAAAAAAGGTTGAAAAGTTTATCAAAAGTACCATTAAAAATTATGTGGTTTTTTTGTTATTTCTTTTTCATATCATGTGTATGTGGAATTAATATATATATATATATATATATATGAATAAGCATATTAATTGATTTAAAAAAATAATAATTATTTTCTTATAATATGATAGAAAATATGAAACAAAAATATTTTATTTAAATTTCATAGAATTCTAAATAGAATTGTGGATGTGAGAAATAACTAACTCAAATAATAATATGGACATAAATTTTTATCATAAGTATTTAATATATCATTTTGAAAACAAAAGAAGTATTGAAGGTTTTTTTTTTATTATTTTAAAAAATAAATGTGAAGATTTTTTTATTTTATTTTAGATAAATTTTATAAGCTAATGTATAAGATAAATTTTATTTAAATATTAAAAAAAATAACCAATTGAATTATTCAATTTCAAACATTTAGGACAAAGGTGGGGTTGGACAGGGTAGAGAGGGGATGGGAAAAATGGAGGAGGTGTTGGGAACGAGGTTGGATACAAGGGACATGTACAAAATGGATCATGAGGTGGAAAGTAGGGTGTGGCTTTAACAAAATTGGAATGTAGCTTTAACAACTCCCTATGTATTTGTGTGTGTATATATATATATATATATACATATAGTCATACACATACACAAAATCATGCATATCTATGCAGTAACTATTCTAACTAAAATTTGAAATCCACAAAAATTAATTTCTATATGCTCTTTTTTTTTTTTTTTTTTTTTTTTTTTTTCCAAATAATGAGTGAATTAAAAACAAATCACTTTTGTTAAAGGCAGTACTAAAATTGTCACATTTTTTAAACATTTTGATCATTTGTTTCATAGCAGTGTTTACCAATGCTCTAAATAGCCACACTGTGAAAAAAAAAGATAAGAAAAAAGTGTCATTCTTTCTTTTTTGAAATATATATATATATATATATATATTTTTTTTTTATTACTAATATTATTCTCCCTTTGAATATTGTCAATTCCAACTTTAGTATCCACATGCTTAGACCAATTAATTTAAGTCCAATATGACACTGTTGGAAAAATCTAAGGGCATAAAATATATTTCTAAAATTAGAATCACGAGATATATATATATATATATATATACACATATTTATGATTTTTTGACATAGCACTTATTACTTATTTTAGTGAATTCCGAATCCTTGCTTAAAGGTATGGTTTTTTTCCAAAAAGGCTTAAACTTAATGTAACCTATGGATTTAGAGTTGGAACAAAACAAAACTTCATTTTTTTGAATTCTGAAGTTGATCCTCAATACTTTCACAAGTTCCAAACAGAATCCTTGAACATTGTTTTTTTTTTTTTTTTTTTTTTTTTTTTTAAATTTTAATGACTATTGGTAATACGAAATCTACTTTGATAAACATATGGTCATTTTATCCAGTATGTATATGTATGAAAATTCATGTTAATTATTCTGATGCACTTCATCAATTTTCTTGTGCTAATATGCCTTTATACAAATCTACTGAACCAAAATAGGTTACACATAATTCTTTTGACAAGACCACACACATAGGTAATATTTATATAAGTGAATCTACAGGCAAAAAAATAATGGTCAATGCACATTCATTCCAATTTCATCAATCAAATAAAAAAACATCCCCCCCCCCTCCCCCCCGGTTAAGTACACCAGCTCTTTTGCACCAAGAAAACACATTGCAAAATATAATAAAATGAATGTGTATTTTTAAGAGACATATTTAGGGCAACAACACAACCAGCTTCCTTTATACAATTGCTTTCATCCAAGTTTTTGAACTCAACTAATCATGCTTGTATTGCAATCTACAGTTTTTGTTTTGTGTGGGGGTGGTCCCCATGACAAACAACGCAATTTTAGACCTCCGAAACTGCAAGAATAGAATCAACAACAATAACAACAAGGCAACAAGACTAACAACTGATACACACGGTAAATCTTTGTCAGAAACCACGAGATCTCACCAGTTTCGGAAGCTGGAGGATATCGATTTCGCACAGAATCGACGATTTCATCTCGACTTATCAAACTGTCAAATTTTCTCAGGTTTTTTTTGTTGATATTTTTATGTGGTGGTTTAGGTTAGAAACTGTAGTTGGTTTCGATTGTGGTCCCCATGCCGAAGTCAGACGATCAAAATGTGGGGTCGTAGCACGTTCGAGCAAGGAAGGTTAGAAACCTAGACATCGCATTGCGCAGACACGAGTTTGTGCTGCTGCAGCAGGGAGTTGTAGCGAAGCCCTGATTGCGTTGACGTGCTAAATATATCCTGCGGTTGAGTCAACAGGCATTAGATTAAGATCCTCTGACAAAATAATAAAAAATAATAAAAAATAATAAAAAATCGATAGAGTTCGGTATCGGAATGGGCGACGAATTGACGTCGCACTGCGATCGAGAATGCTTGAGACGGATGTGATGCAGTGCTAATGAATCCCAGCGACTGGATCCCTTCCCCGAGAAGGCACTGACACAGGCACAAGCGAAGGGCTCAGTCCAGCGCCCAGCGTTCCGGAGGGCCTTGGAATCTCCGCTGTCAGAACCGAGGGGAGTGTTTTTTTTTTTGTTTTTTTTTTTTTTTTTTTCAAATCTTGTAGATTCGCATTCTGGGGTAGCGGAGGCAGCGTCAAAATTGTCCGGGAATGGGGTGTTGCGAGGTCGATCGACAATGCCCCGTGAGCCAGTTTCGGATCCAAGTTCGGTGCCAGATTAGTATCATCCCCAGCAGTAAGTTTCTATTCAGGTTGTGTGACCAACGTGGAGTCGACGCATTGAGGAGGGTGGTCATCTCTAGGAGCTGGCTGCACCACGCTTGTGAGAGCCCATTCCTGCATTTGGAGAATCTCGTCGTTCTGCATCCCAATGATGAGCCGCGAACATCTTGGTTTTGCTGTGAAACGCGCCTTCTGGAGCTCCCTTATGAGCACGGCTGCTGGCTTCATTGTCTCCAGTGCAATCTTCTGAGCAATCCATTACTGCACACTTGGACGGCACCATCTTAGCGCTACAGGCATTGGTCTTGAAGAGAGAAAGACAGAGGAGCTCAACAACAGGGACTGTTTTCTAGAATGGCAATGCTGATGTACGAGGTGTGTGTGTGTGTGTTTTTTTTTTTTTTTTTTTTTTTTTTTTTTTCTGCACAGCTCAAGTTTTGTGAGAGTTTCGCATGTTTAGATTGCTGTGGCTATCTGCACTGTATTAGCCATTGATCGTGATTGTGAGACGCTTACGCCTTGCAAGGAGACATAGCTGTGCGGCGAGCTTCTTCATTGATGTCGTGAACTCTCATTTCTTTCTGATGTGCAGATTTTTAGCGGAGGGAATGAGCCTAATTGGCAAGACTATGTCGATTACCGGGGTCCTTACGACTATGCGGCTGATTCCGATTGTCGTTCTTCCGGTCCACTTCTGCCTGTAAGCATCGCTTTGTTTTCCCCGGGATTTTACTTGTAATGGTCTGTTTAGTAGCAATTCTATTCTGGTTGAAACTTTCTGAAGTCCCTCCATCCACAGCACTTAATTATGCTGCAGTAATAGAGGAGAGGATTCCATGTTGTGAGACATTTTTACTCAGTTTCACCTTCCGATACTCATTCGAGCTTGTTGTTTGTGGATGATTGCAGACCTACGAATTCAGGGTTCCAATGTGCTGCTCGAAATGCGAGGAAAAGGTTCGCGAGGAACTCTTGGAGCTGCAAGGCGTGTGCGACATTTTTACCGATCAGCTCAGTGAGAGAGTGGCAGTTACAGACTTTGTCAATCCATATCACGCGCTGAAGAAGATGAAACGCATCAAGAAGAAGTCCAATTTCTGGGACGAGAGTGAACCATCCCAGAGACACAGTCACATGCAAAACTCCCACAAAAAGCATAAGTCCCACGGCCACCATAGCTCACACACGAAGCATCACTCCAGACAAGAGACCTCATATCGGTCCAATTCAAGCCAGGTCTCCTACAACAGGGAGCCATTTCACAGCGAGCCGTTTCGAAGGGAGCTAGGTCGTAGTTCCAGCTTCCGCTGGCCCTCGAACAGAGACAGGTACGATTCAGCGTCTGATGACGATGGCTCTTACAGCGATCTTCGTCCTTCATCGTCATCGTTCGGCTGCTTGCCACGAAGCAGATCATTTGGGCACGAGAGGGTTCCATCAAACTCTGAAAGTTATTACACTGAAGATTATCCGGAGAGCAACGCCTCGTATGCGCACTACTAACTCCGTATTGTTCATGAACCTTGTCTTGCATCATATCAATTTTGTTCTATACCAGCAGAGTGTGAAGGAAAACGTGAGAGTTTTGGCAGAGAATTGTAGGAATTTAAAAGTTTTGGACGCAACCGGGATGCCATTGTGTGATCCTCTGGTAATCCAAGTGCTTTAGAGTATCTGAGCTCCACAGCGGAGACGTGTCATTGCGGCGTGTAAGACGCAGTGAAAATCATTCAGTGTATAGGGGGTATATGAGATTGAGTGTATAGTGAAAGCCTATGATTATTGAGCGTCTGTGTAAGAACCAGACGATTCGAAAAGCAAAAGAGAACCTGCCGAATCAACTTATTTGTTTTGTTTTGTTTTAAGTACATCATGTAACGGCCGTGAACGGCTCCCCGTCTGTTATGATGATAAATAAACAGCACCAGACTGCCAACTCCATTTTCCATGAAGAGTATTGCAGCAACTCATCGGCCTGAAAGTGCATATCGGTTGAGTGGGTATGCAGCAGGGCAAGATAGATATACTGTCAGATTCTCATGCCCTTCCGCTGAGTTGCACTCCACCTAAAACAACGACAATATGCACAGATCAGATGAGGGCAATTGGCTGATGAATGTTTTTAGATATGATGTATAAAAATAATGCAATGGAATTGCTCGTCTCGAACTCTCCACCGCCTCCTGTTTCTCGAAACCCTCAAACGCTGGACCAAGTTCCTTCCTCACGTGATGCCATCGAGCCTTGTGACAATCTGAAGACAAAGCCTTCCGAGAATCTGCTTCCAGTTTATCGATGTTGGACGCACAAACTAAAATAAAAGACTGACACTGATTCAAGCAAGAATGGGCAACTTCAGTTAAATTTACACATTCATGTGGATCACTGTTTCTGGAAGAGCACGGAGTTTCATGTGTTTTTGTGAGCAGTTCCCGAAATCATGAACCGAGCCGTGGCTTCGCATCAGTATTTTATATACCGTTCTCTTTCAGGCATCAGAATACCCACTTTGGTGCTCACTTTCCTTTCTTTTGAGTTTTGCTATACTTGGGTCTTTGGGGCATGTTCCATTCTCGGGGTACACAATGTGTGATCCATCTACACAACCCTGCAATTTTACCAATGAGCCGTTCAGTTGTAGTTATGTTAACTGAAAATAAAATAAACTAAACTATTCTGCTTTTAAGTTTCGTTTCCAAACTTATATAAATATGATACTATGTGCCATGTTGTACTAACAACAAACTTTTAACATTTATTTCTAAAGTAGTATTATAGTTGACAATTTGAGACTTAGTATAACAATTTGCATCATGGTATTTTTTTACTTTATTTTATTTTATTGCAAGTAGAATTAATTTATTATATCTAAATTTTAAAAATTTATCATCCAAATTGTATGTTACTGATGATGGTTACATGTGTTAAGTCTATGACTTGATAGTTCAATTGCAAAAGTTGTCTTCCTAAACATTTGAAATTTACTAGGATCTTACTATACATTATTTTATTTATTTTGGTAAACTCATCAGCACGTTTTTAAAATTATACAAATATTTTATGCATATCCTTTTATTAGTATCTAATCTTATTATTAGAATAAATACAATCATTTCAATAGTATGCATTAAAATTTTAATTAATCTTGTTAAATTAATTATATACATGTACAAAAAAGATCATAAGATTAAAAAAATTGATTTTCAATTTCATAATTAAGCAATATATTATATAACTATTGTATATTGTATTACTATTAGATTTGGCATTTATATGATTCGATTTTATAAATTTTTGATCAATGACTACTTGAATACTTAAACATAATGTTAAACACAACAATCCACCTCTACAACAAAATATAATAACTATTCTTTTTTAGATCTTTCAAAAAGATGTTATAAATTATGATACAAATTTAGCTTAATAATAATAACCTAAATTATATCAAATAAAAAACAAGCTTATTTATTTACCACATATATGTTTAAATGACTAAAATAAATAAATAACTAAATTTTTATATTATTATCTTTATTTAAATTTTTCCTCTTAAAAATGAATTAAAGTTTAATAAAGCTAATAATGATAAAATTTGTAACTAGTTGGTATCTAAAAATGGTAGAAACTTTGTATATTAATCCATTAAATCTTATTCAATTAGTATGTAAGATTTTTTATATCTAATTAAGTTTTACATAATTTATTCCTAAAATAAATATTAATAGTTACAACAAGAATTATGCATGTTTTAAAATATTGATAATAAGTCTAAATTCTCACTTACATTCTAATCTACTTATTTTGAGATTTTGTATTATATGAATTTGTTATCTAATCTCTTTTTCTTTTCTTTACTCTCGTAGTATTGTACTACTTTGTTGATAAATAACAAAAAGTAAAGGCATGAAGTAGTACAAGTAGAAAACAACATGTTTAGGTTAGTTAACATGTTAGATCAAAATCAGACCCTGAGGCACACAACTGCATACCTATAATAACTCTAAGATTCTTTTGTCAATTAAAAAATAGAATTCGAGAGTTGACTTGAAGAGAGATTTTTGAATATTAGTTTCATATTATTTGGATTAATAATGAGATTTTGAGGGATTTTCAAAATTAGTAATGTACTGTGTGGATTTGGATTTTGAAAAATAAAAAAATTTACAAATTTTAAGATTTTGTGAGTTTTTTAGTATATTAACAAGTGAAAAGTGAAAATGTTTTTGTGTTTGTTGTGAATGTAAATGAAAAATTTGAGATCAATTGAGTGGTTAGATTGAAGCATATGAAGGTTTTTGTAGGTTATGGTCTTGAATAATTGAGATTTAGGATTAGTAAAGTATTTTGTAATTTGGCAATATCTACTAGTTTGATTGAAGCAAAAATATGTGAGAGCAATTTGGACTTGAATATCTACGTACTACTCAAATTTTGGAGCAATTGAATAGTTTAGCAAAGAAAAATCTTTGTTGAAAGATCAACCTTCAAGTCGGAGAAGGAGGGCATCCAACAATTGAAAAGTTTTAAGAGCTTTTCTTGTAATTGGTATATGTGATCTTCTTTAAATTTTTTATACTTATTTTTAACTTAGTTTTTGCAAAGTTTACAAATTTTGAATCAAAACTAATGATTCAAGCATTAGTTATTGAATTTTTAATTTGCTATAAGATTTATTAAGAGTTTGTTTAAAGTTTAGAATTTAATTAAAGATTGACTCGAATTTATTTAGAGTCTAGAATTTGATTAGGATTTGGTTTAGAATTTGGTTAAAGATTAAGATTTATAATTTGATTATGATTTGTTTAGGATTTGGGTAGGATTTAAGATTTTATTAGGATTTTATTAAGATTGGTTTAAGATTTATGAGTTTATTAGGATTTCATTAAGATTTGACTTAGAATTTGGTTAAGATTCAATAGGATTTTAATTAGGATTTGATCTAAGATTTTATTAAAGTTTATTAAAATTTTATATAAGATTAAATTAAGATTTGATTGGGACTTATTTAAGATTTATTTAAAATTTATATTTATATTACATCTACATAGTTTTTTTTATTATTTCTTTAATTTTTTATTTATAGTATTTTTTTAAAGATTATTATTCTTTCTTTAAAGAATTATTTTTATATTTCTTTAAGATTTCTTTATTATTTTTTTGAGATTAATTTATGATTTATTTGTATTTCTTTTGTAACTTCTTTTAAATTTATTTTGGATTTGTTGAAGTTTGATTAGGATTTTTTAGGATTACTTAAAGTTTATTTAAGATTCTACTAGAGTTGATAGAATTGTTGTTGTATTTCTACTTGTCTTCTACAACTAGGTTTCTGCTGAATTCTCAAGCAAGAATACTTGTAATGCAACATTGATAAAATCTATTTTTCAAAATTTAGACAACTACAAAAAATATAGTGCCATTGATAAATTCACATGGTACATGCTAATTAATATATTTACTCAAATATATCTTAAAATTATGGTGCTATCCTAGATATTAAAACTAAGATAACTTAACTTCCACTCAATTTAACCATATTGCCTTCTTGGTAAGGTATTTTATTATAGAATGGCTTTTTGATTCTACTAAATTATTGTGATAAGTCTTAAAAATCCATAACAAACCTATAGAGCATATTTTAAGGGGCACATAGTACCAATGGTTTTTTAAGTTTTGATGGTTCAATTATAATAGCTAGCATCTTAGACCAAAATTTTGTCATAGCAGGTTCTAAAATATACCTTGTGTTAGGGACATAGTCCTTAGAACCTTCTAGAGACAAGTTTCTAGAACCTTCTAGACACAAGTCTCTGGAACCTTCTAGAAACTTCTTAGTTAGTAGAAGATGTTAGGGACATAGTCTTTAGAACCTTCTAGAGACAAGTTTCTAGAACCTTCTAGAAGCAAGTCTTTGGAACCTTCTAGAAGCTTCCTAGTTGGTAGAAGTTACTTGAGAAGCTTCCTAAATAAGAACATAAATTGGAATCGAGGTTGAAGAATTCTTCAGTCTCGACAATACATCTCTTGGAGCTCTAGCTCACCTCTCTGGTGTTGTTCTTGTATTCATCTGATTAATCTAGTTCTTGCCAGTTCTTCTTGAACTTCTTGTTAGATCTCGAGTCTATATTTCTGTGTCCGTGACAGTTTGTCGAGACTTCACTCACCTCAGATATTAGAGCTAGTTTCTTCTTCGTTAGAGTGTGGATTACCTCCCTACTCGGAAGTATACTAGCATTTTAGAGGTTGCGGATTATCCTCCTCTAAACTGATACTTCTTTTGTTACAATATTGGAGTCTTATTCTTCTTGGAGAGAGTGGATTATCCCTTTTCTTGAAGCTCTTAAGGCATTTTAGAGGTTGCGGAGTACCCTCCTCTAAACCAATATTGTCTTCTTGTAGAGTCATTTCTGTCCTTCTCTTAGAATGGCCAGAGGCCAAGACATTAGTATGACGGAAAGTTCAGAGTCCAAGTTGGATGCTATCATGAATGTCCTCACTTCGTTATTACAAAGAACTGCAGAGATTGAAGGAGTCGTGGCAAGGCTTCATAATGATGGAGCATCTGGGATGACACAATCTAGGTTGCACCAGCCTCAAACTTCTGCACTTGGAGAAGCAACTTTGCCTTAGGTTCGATAAGCACCACTGGTTCTACAACATAAGGAGCCTCGAGTTAGCCTTTCGGACAAGTTAGATGGTACGCGTTCAAAGTTTTGAGGATTCGTCAACCAAATCAGGTTGATAACAGTTTTACAGCTCGAACGCTATCCAACGGAGGAGTCACGTGTTGAGCTTATTAGAACCTTATTTACAGGGCAAGCTCTATCATGGTTTACTCCTTTGTGTGAGAAATAATCGTCCATACTAAACAACTTTGAAACCTTTTTGGAGGCGTTTGCAGAAGCATTTGATGAACACGACAAGGTTTGATGGACTACAACAAAGATCT